CCCCAAGATCTCGGGAGGATAGAGGGCAATCTTAGACCTAAAACGCCTGAACCTTTATCTGGCATACCGAAGGTTAAGGATGCAGACACTTCAGTCCATCCTAGGCAGCATCTGAAAGGGGGACTTTCTCACTTCAGTGGACTTCACAGAGGCATACCTCTACATTCCCATCATCCCTGGCCATCGCCAGTTTCTCAGGTTCAGCTACATGGGGCATCATTACCAGTACAGGGCACTTCCATTCGGCCTGTCGTCGGTCCCAAGGGTCTTTTCCAAGGTCCTGGCGGTTCTTGTGGCACACCTGAGATTGATGCCAATCCAGGTGCAATACTACTTAGACGACATCTTAATATAGTCTTCCTCCCCGCAGGGGGCTCTAACAGACTGGGACTGGTGATTGGAGTCCTACAGAGTCACGGCTCCTCGGTCAATTTCAAGAAAAGTCAGACAGTCCCATCAACCAGATTGCTCCACCTAGGGGCCATCATAGACACGGTAGAGTGTCGGGTTTATCTATCCCAGGAACGCAGGGACAGTATACGAGACCTGGTTCTCAAGGTCTGCAGAGAAAAGACGCTGTCCCCTTTCAGTCTTTCCCGGCTCCTGGGAAAGATGATATCGTGCATTTCGATTGTTCCCTGGGCCAGGTTACACGCCCGGTCCCTTCAGTGGTTTCTACTTCCCTATCAGAAGCAGAGAACAAGCACTTCCACCCTAGAGGTAAGGATCCCACCACACATCCTACGTGTCCTCAGATGGTGGCTCTCTCCAGCCATGACCAGAGGGTCTCTTTTCAAGGAGCCTGGTTGGCTCACGATCACGACGGACGCCAGCCTGTTTGGTTGGGGAGCACACTATCAGTCTCAATAGGCCCAAGGATGATGGTCTCGGTCGGACCTGAGACACAATATCAACTGGCTGGAACTCAGGGCCATACATCTAGCCCTTGGCCACTTTCGCCACAACATAGCGAAACAACATGTGCTCGTCCTTATGGACAACGTGGCGGCGAAGGCCCACGTGAACCGGCGGGGAGGCACCCGGTCCCGTGCTGTCCGAGGCCCAGCAGCTGGGCTCCTGGGCAGAGACCAACCTCGCCTCGCTCAGGGCGGACCACATCTTGGGGGAGGCAAACAAGAGGGCAGACTTCCTGAGCAGGTCACCCGTGGACCACTCGGAACGGCGTCTACACCCGGCGTTATTCAGGGAAATGACCCACAGATTCGGTCTTCCAATCATAGATCTGTTTGCCTCCAAGACAAATGCGCAACTCCCGCGGTTCTTCTCGCATTTTCCAGTTCAGGGGGCAGAGGGAGTAGACGCCCTGCGGGTCCCATGGCTGGACGCCCTACTCTATGCCTTTCCCCCTCTTCCCCTCCTCCCAGCGGTCATCCGCAAGCTTCTGCAGGAGAGAGCAGAGGTGCTCCTGGTGGCCCCTTTCTGGCCGCAGAGATCTTGGTTCACCGACCTCGTCGATCTTTCACAATTGTGCCCTTGGAAAATCCCTCCAGACAGGGTATCACTGATCCGGGGGGATCTAAATCACCCAGACCCTCAATGGCTCCAGTTAGCCGTTTGGAACGCTGGATCCTAACCCAGGAGTCCTGTTTGCCAGGGCTCATTGATGTAATTCAGGCATCCCGTAGACCGGCTACTAACCGCATTTACGATGCCACGTGGCAGAACTTTTGTCGGTGGTGTTCCACTCATCAACTACCCTTATTGGGATTGAGCATCCCACATATTCTGGACTATTTACTGGAGGGGCTGAATAAGGGATCGGCACCTAATACCTTGCGTAGACAGGTGGTGGCCCTTTCTACCTTGCTTTCTTGCAACACTGTTAACTCTCTGGGGCAGCACCCCTTGATCCGTCCTTTCCTCAAGGGAGCTACTAATATCAAGCCACCCGTGGTCCACAGGTATCCCTTGTGGGAATTACCTAGGGTCCTTCAGGCTCTTACCAAGGCCCCTTTTGAGCCCCTCAGTTCGTGCGACATGAGGTCCTTATCCCTTAAGGTCGCCTTCTTGGCGGCTATTACTTCGGCCCGGTGTATTTCTGAGATGGCAGCTCTATCAGTCAGGGAGGATCTGTGTGTCTTTCACCGGGATCAGGTCACTCTTCACTTAGACCCCACCTTTGTCCCCAAAGTTAATTCTCTTTTTCATAGGGCCCAGGACATCGTCCCTCCTGATTTCTGCCCTAACCCGTCCCATGATCTGGAACGTCAATGGCATTCTCTGGACGTCCGCCGGGCTCTCCGTTATTACATTAAACGGACGGCCACCTTCCGCAACTCCGAGGCACTTTTTGTCTCCTTCCACCCTTCCTCCAAGGGTCGGAAGGTGTCGGCCTCCATGATTGGTCGTTGGATAAGAGCTTGCATTGCGGGGGCGTACCAGTCCAATTTCTTGCCGGTGCTCCACACCGTGTCACGGCCCACTCTATGCGCAGTACGGCCATCTCTGCGGCTTGGGCCACACAGGCTTCCATCGAGAAAGTATGTAGGGTGGCCATGTGGTCTTCCCTGTCACCGTTTATACGGCATTATAAACTGGACAGGTACGCATCCGCCGAGGCATCCTTTGGCAGGAGGGTCCTCCAACTGGTGGTACCCCGCGACACAGTTCCAAACTTGCCTGCTTCCCTCCTGTAAGGACAGTGGGCTTTGGTATGTCCCATTAGTGGATTATCTATCTCCAGTGCTGCAGAAGGGGCGTTGTCTTACCTGAAAACCGTTTCTCAGCACGGAGATGGATAATCCACACCCACCCAATTAGGTCCTCAGGCTTAGGGTCGTTTTCTGTGAGCCAACCTGTCATGCTGTCAGTCAGTCCTTGTCAAAAACTGGGAAAACAGGCCCAGGACAGGCGTGGCAAGTTTGACTGACTTGATCTGACTGGGCAGGAGGATTAAGTTAACCCATTAGTGGATTATCCATCTCCATGCTGAGAAACGGCGTTCAGGTAAGACAACGCCCCTTTTATTAATTTTGTACAAATTAATGTTCTGGCATATATGCCAGTGTGTGTTTTCAAACTTTCTTTTATAGCATTTTATTTGTCAGCCTCTTTTCAAATCATTGTACTGATAACAGTTATGTGATTTTCATCAGCTGTTCATTAATTTGAACAAGGCAATAAAGTCATTCTATATCCTGATAATTACAGTTAAAAGAATCATCATATATTTTCACATTCTCTTACTTATTTAGTAAGAATATTACATATTCTCTTTTTATTTAGGTTTGAACATACTGAAGTAGCCCTATCTTTCATGCTTCACTTCCTGTTCTAGCAGAAGTAATGATCATTAACAATTTCTAGAATAAATTTCCATTTAAAACATAAAATGTATTTTCTGTATTGACATAACCTGCATATTTTCTATGAACTAATTTTAAAGCATTTAGTTAATTAATGTTCATTTATATCTCCTAGCATTCTCCATCAGAAAACTTCCTAGAAAAACCAGTGCCAGACATGTCTCAGGTTAGTGGACCGAATGCCCAGCTCTTGAAAAGTGATGATTACCTTCCCTCAATTGAGCTGCAACCACAGCAGAAGAAAAAGAAAAAGAAAAACAATCATATTGTTGCAGAAGGTCCCAGCAAAGGACTTGGTAAGGAAGGCTTTCCTAGTGGGCTTGATAACCAGGATCCTACCAGAAAAGCCCTAGAAGGTTCCCAGGAAGAAAAAAAGAAAAAGAAGAAACCTAAGGTGAAAAAGGACCCGAAGGATTTCAAGGAACCCAAGGAGAAGAAGGAGCCTAAGGAACCCAAGACTCCCAAAACCCCCAAGATCCCCAAAGAGCCAAAGGAGAAGAAAGTAAAACAAACTACACCAAAACCCAAGACCAGCAAAAAAGCAAGGTATGGAAGGCAACAAATAGTTCAAGTCAAGTCCTGTTTTGCAAGCTTAATATTAAATATGTTTAAATTAGTGAAAATGTTTTAAGATGCATTATAGCCCATCTTAAATTATTTCATATTAATTTAGAATTGACTAGCATAAATTAAAATGTTGTTCTTTTGTTATTTCCAAAATGTATTGAATTATAGGCTTATTTGGACCCAGCTACAGGGCAGAGAAACATAAATCTTAATTTCAATAAGAATTGCAAGTCTGACTTTGAGAAGAGGAAATTAATACAAGAAGGCTGACATCACTAAGCTACTCATTCACTTTCTCTTAACTTGTTCTTAAGAATTAGTCCCCCTGTCATTATAGTACTTTTTGGGGGAGAGACAGGGTATATCTGTACCCTTCTATAATGTTCATTTCAAATTTTCTGCTGTTGAAACTACATTGTAAATACAAGTGGAACCTTGAATAACCTCATAAAGTATGTTTACATTTTTCATGAAGTAGGATCTTATCAGTTTTCTAAATTATCTTTATGAAAATCACAAGATTCTAGGAAGGAAGGAAGGAAGGAAGGAAGGAAGGAAGGAAGGAAGGAAGGAAGGAAGGAAGGAAGGAAGGAAGGAAGGAGTGAGTCTATGTGTCTACATGTGTGTAGAGTGGGAGATAGATGATAGATAGATAGATAGATAGATAGATAGATAGATAGATAGATAGATAGATAGATAGATAGATAAAGAAAGGGAAAGAGAAAGGTTTTTTGTGAATTCTTCAATGCCAAAATAAAATATATATACATCTAACATGCAGGGCACAATATAATTATACTATTAATAATGTGATTTTATTTGATTTGAAAAGAATTTAAAAAAAAACTTATCAGGGGAACAGATTTATTTCATCAATATTCATGTGTGCCAAGATTGTCACTACAGAGAAAACTTTTAGTTCTGTATTGCTAACTAATCTCTCATTTCATGGCCAGTATCTCAGAAGTATTTATTAATTGTTATTGTTTTGTTTTTAAACATTAGAAAGATAATAAATAAGGCACTTGACCGATGGTTGCATGACATCTATTTTTCAGGAATAATGAAACCTATTCCACTTATAGAGGAAGCTCCGTATTTGTTTCTTTTCTTTTTAGCCCCCTTTTCTTTCTGCCCTTTAGCTGTATAACTATTTTATCATGTAAATCTATAATTTAAGGAACTTTTGTTAATTTTATGTATTTTATGGAAGGGAACCCAGTAGATTTTTAAGGAAAATTTTAGAACAGTTGGTATGCAAACAAGGTTAGGTTAAACAAATTAAGTATGATGTTTTTTCCTATATATTGTATTTTCATATTTTTAAGCTTGAAGTAGTTGAACTGTTTAGAAGCAGGCAAACTTTAAAACCTGTAGAAAAAACTACCATATATATTAAGGAGTTCCAAGAAATGATAAATCTGTCCAACAACATTCAAAATTAAATCAAATGGATCAATATACTAAATGATTAATCTGTCAAACAATAGCTTTTGAATTCTTTAAAGATACTTCATTTATCTTTTTGATGTATTGCTGTGATATAGATAAGAAAAAAGTATGAAAAATACGATTGCAGTACTCAGCAAAAAGTACATTGTGACTATAGTATAATAATGGATATTATAGTTATTTTGTGTTTTCTGAATAGCAGATATGAAGCAATACTATAAGCCTACCACAGATTTGCAAGGATATATCCTAAAAGATAGCAGATAATTTATATAGCTTTCTCTAGCTTCTTTTTAGTCCCTGAGAACCATTGGGTTATTGATCCTTTTAATTGCAGTCAGGTTTGTATATATTGGGACAATGCTAAGTTTTGGTCTGTATGAATTAAAATGGCTGCCATTCCTCAGTGGTTAATACCAAACTTTTGTCAAACCTCTTGAATTAAAGGTGAAAGTCTTCACTTTGGTCACATCTTGAATGTTTCTTTTCAAATACAGTGTGGTGGTTATACAAATGCTAAAAACCTTCCATTGTCCCAATACATACAAACTTGACTATATACTTTTACAATGGTAATTTTCCCCCTCAGTTCAATTTTTAAGAAGGAACACTGTATAGAATAGGTAGTCAGAAGATTTAAGTGCTGTCCCATTATTGCATGAAGGATAATCCACAGCATGTATCTACAGCACAGTGTCAAACATTGCGTCACGCGATGTATCATGACGTATTGCGACTTTTTTGCCTTTGCGGAACCAGGGCGGGCATGGCCTGCATGTGACACATCTCACCCACGGGCTGCTAGTTTGACACCACTGATCCACAGCATTAAGAAGAATCTAGTGTAATCATTACAGGAAGAAGGAATTAAATATTCCTGATCTCAGTGCTAGTTGCTGTGTGTATCACGAATGCTATGTGCCTAATTTTTAAAATCTTTACATAAAACCTCTATAACTTGGCATAGAGGTTATAGGTTGGGCATGGGGGCTGTATCATTGATTATGCATGCTTCTTTACTTGTAAAAGAAGTAATAAATAAAACATTGTGGTATAGTGATTAAGGTGTGGATTAGAAGTTGGAAGACCAGGGTTCTTGAGATAGTGTTGAAAAATAGGTTTGTACTTTTAGATTTAAGCACATATCTCATAAAAATATTAACATTAATTTGTATTAATAATGATATGTTGCTTAGCAACTTTTAAACTCCACAGTACATCAGCTTTGCTTCAGAAATTTGACTAATATTTGATTGTCTTCATTTCTTAAACATTTGATAACATACATTTTCTTTTTTGTTACTTTCCTATTGCAATACCTTATGGAAGAGCCAACTGGACACAATTTATAAGGTTAACTTTCAATAAGTTAGCAGTTTTAAAGATAAAAATATCTTAGTGAAAAGACTTGTTCAGTAAGAAGTATATGCATTACACAAAAACATTTTTTAAGTCAAGTCCCTGGTGTCTTTGAATATGCATGTAGGTATATGTATGCAACAAAGAGCCCATGGGATTTCTTACTACTCTATTCTCCTGGTAAACTTCCAACAAATCAACTTTATTACAAATTATTTTATGCTACTTCAGTCATCTGACTGACTTATAGAACAACATACTATGTATAACAATAATTGAATAGTTTATCCACATTATAAAATTATAATAAATACTTTCAACATAACTAATATCATAAAAATTATACAACATTATAATATCAAATTTATTCCTCAGGTATATCTCCCATTTTTGGCTGAGTTCTAAAATACATTTAAAGAGCCAAACTTTTAAAAACTTCATGAACATTAAAAGTAAGGGTACAATTCTTTTATTTGATGTGAATGCTTACCTCCAAGTGTCCTTTTTTTGTGTTTCATGAAATATGGGGATTCTCAGCAAGTATGCTTTCAGACAAGTGTCGGACACAGATTCTATTTGGAGCAAGCAGTCTTGCTAGATACAAGTAGCTGTTTTTGAGACTTGTAACTCTCTGGTGGTTCTTATAGGCGATACTTCCAGCATGAGAGGAGTTGTTTTTTTTTTAAAATTAAACCACAATTCTTAACTTGATGAATTGTGTATAAATGCTTATGGTGATTTGTTCTTCGAACTTGTTTAGCTTCCAAATGTTTCATCACCAGGCTAGGTAACATTGTCGCCAGAACTTCGCTTGAAGTGTCTGGTTTCATTTCACTTCTGCTTTTATAGGTTTTATGTGATCAGTTGGTCATGTGACCAACTGGTCATGCTGTGAGTCATCTGGTAGAGAGGTCATTTGGTGGTAGTCACATGATCAACTAACCACATAAGACCTATAAAAGCAGATGCGAACTGATACAAGATACTTCAACTGAAGTTCCGCCGATGTTGTACCTGTCCTGGTGACGAAACATCCAGAAACTAAACAACCTTGGACAACAAACCACCACCAACATCTACCATTCGAGCTACAAATATTTTTCATTTGTATGAATGTGTACAAATACTTTCCATTTCTGTGTGTAGGTGCTTTATATTCTCTTCTTGGGTGTTAGATTTTGGTTTTCCTCTTGTTGTCTCTTGAATTCCTTCATATTACTTTTAAGAACTGTTAGCAACATCTCTATAGGCTCTCTTACTTTCATAAAGTCTACTTTTGCATCATCTTAAGTATTACAATGATTCTGAGTGAGTGGCAAGTAGCTTCATTTTCTGCTTCTCAGGTGACTGCCTTTGCCCTTTATTAATGTACTTGGAACCTGCACTGGATTCCTTGCTTTATCTGTATTTCTTGCAGATGTATCTTTGTTTTCCAAGTGAAGCTATGGGTAATCAATTGCTGTCAAAATTGGGGGGCTCTTTTGGTGATTCAATCCTTCTGATCTAATGGAAGGGTCTTCCATATGTATTCTGCTAAATCTTTTCCAAATACAGCAAATGGCTGTTCCTCCATTACTGCAGAGTTCTGCTGCCTTTTTCATTCTTTCCACTGAAAAGATTGGTTAAAAAAGCTGTCTCTTGGGCCCATAGCTGGTTTACTTGGACTTTTACAATCATACCTGAAGTTCCTTCTAGAATTTCCCAGTTTTGTAACCTGGATTTCACAGTGATCTTCAATCTTCACCCATGAGGGTATCACTGTAGCACATGTTACCTTAGGTGACCATTTTGTGCATGTTCTGTATATTTTATCATTATTTTTGGTTTTTCATTATTGATTTATTACTATTATTGGTCTGTTTTTAACTTTGTTAGGCTTCTAGTCATTATTGCAAGATATGGAGCAATATTGAATAAATAAAATAAGAAATTCTATCTAGTTCTGAACAGATCACTCCATTCCAGTCTCCCTGGAAACACCAATTTTCATTGGTCATGTCAATTATTTTTTTCATAAGTCCTTTAAAGAATATAGTTTTGTTTTCATTGTGTGCATGTATTCCCATTATCAGAATGTTAGTTTCATTCCACTTATTTCTAGCCCTCTATATGGTCATTACTTCTAATAATTTTTAGTTGTAATTGTGGATTTATGTATAAAGCAACTCCATTTTTCTTTATCCTGTAGATATAAATTCTTGTCCCAAATTTTTATAAAACAAATATTTTTCATCTTTTCTTATATGGGTTTCCTGTAAGCAAATTTGCTCTTATTTCAATGTTTTCAAATAATAAAATATTTTTATATATTTTGAGAAGTGTTGGCTTCCATATATTCCATTTTAGGCATGTAAGATCTGTAGCTCTGCTTCAAGTTTAAAAATGTCTATACCTGGGATTCCTTGGGTTGCACCTGGAAAACAACTGATAACCAGTGACATTTATGAAATAGAGGTTGCATATGGCCAAACTGAAGTGTAGGCATGACTATTCGTGCTGCCATGTTCTGGATCACCCATAGTTTTCAAGTAATCTTCAAAGATATGATCCATAGCCAAATGAATGGTACCTGATACCTGATTACAGGTATCACATGTTCTTTAAGTAAGAACCATGAATCTAAAATAATTTCCAGATTATGCACCACTTGTATTTAGAATAATGTAACCCCAGAACTAAAGATGGAAAATCACTGGAAACTCCCACTTCATATACTAATAGCCTTCATACTTAACCAAGTGAGTAGCTCACTTGGTTGGCCAGGGATCAAGATAGGTAACTGTAATCTGATACTTGACTCCTCATTTGGCCTCATATATATAATAATGAGGGGGAAAGCATTGAGCCCTGAGGAATCCTGCAAAATAAGGGCCTTAGGTTCAATCATTCCATTACTATAACACTCACAGAAATCAACCACAGAGAAATTCTGTGGCACCATTTCATTACCTTTTGTGCAGGAAATCTTCAGACCTTGCTTTATGTAAGAATCTGCCTCAACTAGATATCCCAAGAAAGCAGAACTCTTGAAATAGGCATTGTTTCAAAAAGAACTTACATTGAGAGTTAGTGATAGCAGGAAAGCAAAGCAAGGTTTGAAGATTTTCCGCACAAAAGGTAATGAAATGGTTACATCAAAAGATTACATCAAAAAGCCCATTAAGGTCTCCTCCCCCCAGTGTCCAACCCTCCGTTTGAAATCCAGCCAATCCATAGGTAGTAGGTTGTTTTGAGTACCTAGTGATTTAGCGCTCTTCTCAAGGTCTCTCTTGGTTTCATTTCCCCCAACGGTCCCAGGCTCTGTTGTTTGGAGATAAGGCAGATGTTTTCAGGCCACATTCCTTTCACACAAAGGGAGGGCAAAGCAGAGCAAGACAAATACATTTCCCAACCAACAAGCCCCCCTCCCAACAGAATGGCACGCCCCAAAAATGAGTACATAGGCATAAGCAATAAACTGGAGACCAGTCTATTTGAGGGGTCCTGACACATGACCTGAGAAGTTTCTAAAGGAATCAGTCTTTCTTCCCTTTTCAATTCGTGAGATAAACTGATTTCATAAGAGATAAATAAAATAATATTTAAAGAAAAAAATATAAAAACCGGTGTTAGTTTAAGTAGTCACGCACAAAAATATTAAGGGGCAAGAGAAATACAAACAAAAATCACAGATCATGATATGAAAGGATTTCCCTTTCAAAAATATAAAGGAAAATATGAGGTTCTATGAAATCTATAGTCTTTGCTTCTAATCCAAAGACTGCTGTAGTGTGAAGAATGGAATAAGGAGGAAAGGAGGGAGTTTTCTGATGCTCCCTGCCAGCTTCCCACTAGAAAATTCAATGGGGAAGCCAACAAGAAGTCAGAAGTCGCTCCCACCTTCATTGATTTTTTTGCCCAACCATGATCATTCTGTTTCTGTTTAGATAAGAAATATCTCTGAAATGATGACCTAATGGGTCACGGGTTTTCTAGTACATTATATAATCTGATATAAGACTACTACTTATTTTAAACTTTTTTTATCACATTAATTTCTAAAATACTGTTGGCACTTGATCTAATCCAGAACTTACAAAAATTCATATCTTTGTCAAAAGATTCTTTGCTCTTCAAGTTTCCTATCAGTAATCTTCTGAATCTGTTCTTACTGCAAATAATCATAGCTTCCTGTCCAAAATATTGTTCTAGAAGAGAGGATATGAAAGCACACTGTACCATTTAATTTTGTCATTGAAATACAACTTATAGTAAAATAGTGCTGTGATGGCTTTCTCTTTCTCTTGTTTGAGGTTTTAATGAGAATTTGGTAGTTATCAGTAATACTAACCAGGTGGATCTTGTTATTTGTAGGTGTTATGTTCCAGAGACTAACTGTGGCAAATAAAAATCTGGAGACCTTGAACATATGGAAATTGGGAAGGTTAGGTTCCAGAGCTCCAGAAAACAAGCAGAAAGGGGGAAATCATCTTACCTCCCATTCTTTTTATTGAGAATAAAGACTAAATAAAAGAACAAATAAATATTTTTTTAAATATTTGGAGTATTGTGTTTTATTCAAAATAAAACAAATGTGGAACAGCAGTCTCAGGCTTGCAATGACAAAAATCAAAATAAAGACCAAGGAAGGTACTAGCAGCAGCCCAGTCTGTCTTGCAGCAGCAAAAAGAACAATAAGGTGGCAATCATCCTCCCTCTTCTTCAAACTTATAGAAAGTTCTGGTGTTCTTTACTGAGTACTTCAGACCTATGGCAGATGTAGCTATATTTGCAAAGTGGTTGGCGATAGTGTTTGCCTTGTTTTGCACTGTAGAACTCAATAGCTGTCCTAACAATGTTGTAAAGTAACTTTCAGTTGTCTTTTGAATTTGATGTTTAAAGAGTCACATTCAGTACTCTCCAGTTACAGTATATTAGAAAGTATTAGGAAGCTGAAGGACTTTCCTTTCCTCTTTTTCCTTTTCTTCATTGCTCTCAGGAACTGTCTGGATGATCTCCACTTCCTCCTCTTGGACTTCCTCCTAATGCAATTCAAGAAAAACCTCTACTTCAGAGGTCACCCTTTGTCGGTTGGCAGATCGGAGGAAAAGGGAGGGGGAAGCAATTTACATGTGCCCTCATGATACTAGCCCCGCCCCATTCTTGCATGGTGCAGCGCCTTCTTTCGTTGGCCAGTTTTTGCACCCCATGGCGCAGCGGTGCCCCATTTTCACCCCTCAAGGCACATCGTCATCCCATTTTTTCACCCTGAGGCACAGCGGCAGTGATCCGTTTTTGCGTGCACATTGGCCAGCTTGTCCTGTGGCCCAGTGGCCAGTAGGCCACAGCCCACTACCGAGCCACGGCCCTGCTCTACTTTATATGGCTGAATGTTGTCCACTTTTTTTAACCAAAGGTATATATTTTGTATCAACTTAGTAAGCTGCTGATGTAACAACTACAACAAATAAAGAAATGCCCAGCTCGCAATGTTTTTCACACTGAAACATAGGTGCTACAATATTCTCAATGTATGTTATGATCTAGGACAGTGTTTTTCAATCTTTTCTTCACCACAGACCCCCTTTAAATACCTTTTGGGGCCATGGGCCATGGCCATGGATCCCCAAGGCTTAACTCAAGATTTATCCTTGAGTTTCTTTCTTCAAGCCTTTGTGGACCCCTCGTGACCCCGTGTCCGCAGACCACAGGTTGAGAACCACTGATCTAGAATTCCTCCAGCAATTCCTGACTGAGATAGAAAGAAGCATTGATCTAAAAAATGCAGCTTTGAAAAGCACTTTTGGGATATTGTCCTAAAAATGTATTAACAATATAAGATTTATAACTTAATATGAGACCTTGGTCCATCCGTTGGATCAAAGAGGTATGTATATTGGGGATTAAGATGGCAATCTGCAGGTTCAAGTGTGGATCAGACTATGAGGCTGCAGGATGCCTAAGGAATTGTGTAGACCAGCAGATACTAGTTTCTTGGAGGTGAGATATATCTGCACCTTATGCAGAAAGATTTAGCTGTAATCAAAGAAAAGTGCTGCAGTCAACTCTATTCTCTTGTCTCACTAGAAGACAAGAAGCTGGTTTTCATTTTTCCTTTTCAGGATACCAGTACAGTACAGTATGAGCTTTACTGCATGCCAGGAGATAAGGTTGCATTTTGTCTTTCTTGAAACCCTGATCATCTTTTGTTTGCTGGTGGAATAGGTTGGCATCTGCTTCCAAAACAGCCAATCTCATCACCACTGAATACTTTGCTCTAGCCTGCATCCTCCAGAATCAGTAAGCCAATAGAATTTTGTGAGTAATCTTTGTGCCACCAGGGTGGAGAGGAGGGGTGTATGAGGATAGCTGAATTATGCTATTTTCCCATCTGTCATATGAGGAAAATGCTAACTATATTATTGCACTTATTAAAATATGTTAGTAAAATAATTTATGTGAATCACTATATATTCAATAAATACTTATATTGTATATTATTTCATCCATGATTGCATATACTGATAAACTCAAGGTTGCACTAAGTCTTGAAAGCAATTGTATTACCAAAAGTTGCTATTAAATTGAAATTTTAAAATAATACAAAGGCAAAATTATTAAATACAGGGGGAATAATATTAAATGTATTTAACAACCTGCCTCCAGAAACAGTAAATGCTCCAACAGTGGAAGTTTTTAAGAAGAGACTGGACAGCCATTTGTCTGAAATGGTGTAGGGTTTCCTGCCTGAGCAGGGGGTTGGACTAGATGACCTCCAAGGTCCCTTCCAACTTTACTACTACTACTACTACTACTATTATTATTATTATTATTATTATTATATTATTATTATTACTTCAGTCAAATTTAAATAAATCAAATTCAGTTAGTAATCTGCTTTGAGTTGTGATCCTGATACACCGTTTGCATGGTATAGAAGTTTAGAACATTGGATTAGGACTGGAGACATTCACAGTCATGGAAGCTCTTTGTTTTGTCTAGTTATTCTGTCTCAAAGCAGCCTATGTTGTCATTTGGGGAAAAAAATGGGATTGCCAAGTACGTCTCCTTGAGCTCCTGAAGAAAAAGTGAGATACCATGTTTACCCAAAAATGTAAAGATGGTATCTCACTTTTTCTTCAGGAGCTCAAGGTGATGTACTTGGCAATATATATATCCAGCAGGAGCCCACGTGGCCACCGCCAACCCACTTCTGTGGCCACTTGTGTGCATTGCCCCTGGCCTCCATTTCACTGGCAGAGGCTTTCAGGAAAGGCCTCTGCAGCCGAGAACAGTGTCCAGGTTGATAAGCAAATCGCCCGGGACTCCATTCTTGGCTGCACAGGCCTTTCCTGAAACGGAGGCCGGGGGCAATGTGCAAGTAGCGGCAAGCAGCCACAGAAGAAGTGGGCTGGCAGTGGCCATGCGGGCCACTGGCAGATGGGGTTATTAGTGCCGCTGCCGCAAGGCAGGAAAATCTCAGGATGCAAGAGGCCTGGCTGCGGTGGCCCTGAGTTAAGCGGGTGCAGGGCACATGGGGCAGCTTCACTCCTTCACCCAACTGCCTCAACTCACTTTGTGGTGGCATCGCGAACAACCAGATGGAATAGGCAGGCAGCCAGATGCGCAGACTCTTAACTAGGGCTTATTTCAGGGGGGGGCTTATATTAGGCGCATGCGTAAAAAATCAAGCTAAGCTTTATTTTCGGGATAGATTTTATTTTCAGGGAAACACCATATAAATCTAACTAATAAATGACCCAGATAGAGTTGTTGGCCTGGAAGACTTGTACTTCCCTAATTTATAGAATAACAGTACTATCTGTATCTTAATTTTCACATTAAGAATTAAATTTGAGAAATGTCTGATTAAGTTCTTGCTGTCCAGTAAAATACTTTAAAAACCACTGATATAAAAAATTGGCAGGATGGCAGTTTATTAATGTAAAAAAATAAAAGGAACTGAAGGAAACTCCACCTCCGTGAGAAAATAACTTATGAATAATAACCAGATGGTTGCAAAACAAAGACCCATGGATTGCATCTAATAGGAATCAGCCTAGTACTTTTGAAACTACAGGTTATAATTCTGATAGTAAATAAATGAAAAAAAATTCTGTGTTCCAATGTTTTGATAATTTATTTGATTGACTTAAATTCTTTCTGAATTAAGTACGAAAGAGGAATAACAATCAATGGTTTTTCAGATGTATACTACATTTTAAAACAAAGTGCATTGGTAGAGTATATTAAGATATATAGTTATTTATTCATATAAAGCTGTAGTTAATGGACCAGAATAAGACATTTTCTTATTTTGAGAGGAAAGCGAAAGAATTGTTTGGGAAAGCTAGAGGTAGTCTTTGACTTGACCATCATTCATACAGTGACCTTTTAAAGTCATGATGGTGTTGAACAAATGGAATAACAATTTCCTAAATTCTGGCCATTGCAGAAGCACCCTGGCCATGTGATCAAAGTTTGGATGCTTCGCAGACCAGCGACACTTATGATTGTAGGGACATTCCAACCCCCCCCCCCCCGGTCGCCTATCTTTCTACCCCTATCACTCTGCACTCAGCTGTCCTTAGGTCATCTTCACTGTCCTGGCTGCTGGGGCTGGCTTTGGGTTGCGCTGTGAAAAAGCGGGGAGCTGAAAGCAGCCCTACCTTTTTCGCAGTTCAAAGCCAGCTTCATTCCAGCCTGGCTGCCAAGCCGGGCATGCCTCATCAGCAGCAGAAGAGACAAAGATTTCCTGAGGTGGCAGAGCATAAGACAGCAGGTAGTCTTAGAGTGCAAGATATCTGGGACTGTGTTCAGACTGTGCATTTCTGGGACTGCTTCCTGCCCTACAAGGCAGGGTGCAGGACAGCCAAAAGGGCATGCATATGGGGAGATGGATGGAGAAAGTAGGAAGCAGTTCTTACTTACTGAAGCTCAGGACCAAATGTGCTTCCATATTTCCAGTTCAAAACATTCTTGTAGATAGAGGTGGATTTTAATCTATATGAGGAATAACAGAGCATTTATATAAAAATAATTAAGGGTAGATTTTATAAAATATTTTTAGTTAGGATTTTGTTTGTGTTGTAAAAATTATCTTTGTGAACAGGAGACATTTTACACATTCCCAATATGCTTTTATATAACTGTTATAGACTTGTAGAAGACATGAATAAGAGAGGATGCCTGAAAATCCTGCAGCTGCATCTCTTTTTTCAGACAATTGAATAACTACAAGTGTTCTGCTTGTGCAACACAAGAAATTGATATTGTCCGTATACTGTACCAAGAGTGCAAAAAGTTATGCCTAAAGGCCACATGTAGCCAATCAACTTTTCTTTTGTAGCCCTAACAAAAGTGGAGGGGGTAAAATTGGAACCCTTGTATTTTTTTTAATTTCTTCTCTTTAGTAATACTGTGTCTTGTTTATCTGCAAGCTTAAAATAATTGAAATACTTTTTTTGTTTTTGAAGAGTACCTAATTCTCTTGTATATAGTCTGGTGCAACTGTTGAACAGATAAAGTTATATACTTTTGTGGTATACTTAAAGCATT